TATAGCAACTATATCAAGTACCTGCACGCCGTTGTTGTTGTCTCTCTCCCCTCAGACGCGCTGCAATGGCGATCCTGCGCGCAATTCTCAAAACGTCCACAAGATGGCGGCGTTTTTCGGTGAATCCGATATTACAAAACCGATATCCGATTATGGTAAAATGCTTAAATATCGGGAAAAATATCGATAGTTAAATGGGTCGTTGAAGGACAGCAATAAACATTAAGCAGATAAATTATAAGGAAGAGCGCAAAGTCCTATGGATAGGCAAAAATTCCTGCAGGGTACTGCTTTTTTACTGTGTTGAGGAAGTGTAGGTCACTCAGGAAGAGTGTAGTGGAGTCTGTTTTAAAGTATGTTTTAATGTATGTGTCTGTGTCTGTGTCTGTGTGAATGACTATGGTTGTATGAAAACAATAAAAGACCATGTATAAATTATAAATTCATAGTATAAATTCACTTTATAATATATTAAAAATGTGCACACTCATGTGATATAATTAATACTAGGCTTAAAAGTGCATGGTACAGAAGAAAATAGGAGAAAGTGGTTAAAAGAAGAAGTTGGGGAGAATATATAGTAAGTTAAATTCTTGCATAAATATATATATCGAGCTTTAAATATAGGATTGTCATATTATTGGAAAAATTATGGCAGTCACTCTGGTGGAAATATTAGTAGTAAAATATCCATTGTGTAAAGAACTGGTAGACAAGCTCTCAAACAAATGGCAGCAGAGAATTAAAAATATGATGACAAAATGGCCAAAGGAAGGGACATTTGATGTAGCATTGTGCGAGGAAATGGAAACTCATAAAAAAATCATAAAACTAAAGGAAATAGTAAAAAAAAAGAGAAGAGAGGTAAAAAGGGAAAAAGAGAAAGAAGTGCTAGCCTTGTTCAAAAAGGAAGGAGAAGACTCATTGAAAAGTATAAAACAGGCAAGAAAAATACTAAAAGAAGCAGACAAAGCGACAAAGAAAAAAGAAGAGTTGTTTTCTAAACCACCCCCATATCTGCCCCCAGAGGGACAGTTCCCAATACTTAAGGGTACTGTAGAAGTGTCTGGAGAAATGCAAATGGAAGGACAAGTAGAATTGGAAGAAAAACAAAAAGAACCAGATGTAAGACCAAAGAGGCGACAGAATAAAAAGAGTGAGGGCTATTTACCTTTAGATTGTTATAAACAGGCACACATAGCATTAAAAATGATGAAAGCAAACTATGAAGGAAAAACAGGAAATATATCCCCTGGGCCTCACAGGACCTTGAGCGGCTGGTCACTCGCCTCCCAGACATCCATGAGGGGGCTGGGAAGTGGATTAAGGTGTTTGAAGAAGAAACTATGGGCAAACTTTTAGCTGTGGGAGACATTAAAGCACTGCTGGCGAAGATTATAGGAGGGGTAAAGATGGAAGAAATTCTTCAAGCATCCAATCTGGACAGAGCTGTGGACTCTCACTACATGGATGGAACTGTTTTTGATGCATTCCATCCAGCAGTGTGGCAGGCACTGCGTGCTGAGTACCCGATCAGACTGGACCCTAAATCATTAAAGGGAGAACAGCTGAGGGAAACAGAAAATCCAACCACATATGTCCAGAGACAGCTGAAAAGATGGAAGCAAGAAACTGAAGGGAATCCAGAAGGAGACCCATTAATGGCAATATTGTTTAGAAATGCTGTGATAGATGCCATGCCACAAGCTGTAAAGAGCAGGCTGGAGGACGTGGTTGGCTTAAACTCTAAAACACACAAAGAGTTCTGTGAGAGTTGTCACACGGAGAGTTGGCAGCAGCCCACCCGGGGTCCATTACAGCGCCCAGTAAACCCTTGGGGAGGTCCAAATCAAGGATATTAGGGGTGCCCAGAGAGTCATATTGGGGAGAGTCAGCTTCCAATTTTAACAACTAAAGCTGATCAAGAACCTATTACGCAAATTGAAATAGAGGGAAAGACAAAACCAATGATGGTAGACACAGAAGCTGTTTATACTTGTGTGAATTCAAATTATGCCTCACATCTCCCCTTGTCTGGAAAATTCGCAAAGACAATAGGATTCTCGGGACAAACGCAGCTAATTCCAATGACAGCTCCAGTGTGTCTACAAACCAAAAATAAAAGTGTAACCATACCCATTCTTGTATCAAATCAGACTCCTGTTAATTTGTTAGGGAGCATGAAAAAGGCAGAACAAAGCAAATGGGAACCAACACAACATCCGTTGATTTTTCATTCAAGTGACAAAAAATACATCAACATTTTGTGTGCAACCAGTTTGATGGGAATTCCTCAGGAAGTAGTTATCAGTCAAAAGAAACTGACACAGATGACTACAACATCCGAATTGATAAACAATACTGAGACTGAACTATTTAAGGTAGTAGAGCGGCAGGTACCAACTGAACTATGGTCTCAAGATGACTCAGATGTAGGATTGATCAAATCAGCAAACCCAGTGACAGCCAGTACCAGAAGGACCATTTAAGCATCTGGTAATGGATTATGTGGATATGATAAAGCGAGTACAAGGCAAAAGGTACATGCTGGTGATCAAAGACAGATTTAGCAGATGGGTGGCGGCAGTACCATCAGCAGATCAGGGAGCAGGAACAGTAATTACATTTCTAACAAAGAGAAGTAATTCCTAGATTTGGAATACCATCAGAAATAAGCTCAGATAATGGATCAGCATTCATACAAAAAATGGAAAAACAAGTACTGCAACAATTGAGAATAAAGCAGAGACTAGGGTGTGTCTACCATCCACAATCACAAGGGATGGTAGAGAAATTAAATGGAACCCTCAAGGCCAAACTAGTGTTGCTTTCGTCAACGAAAATTATGACTAAATATTGTCGTCAACGAACCTTTATCACGTGATGAAAACGAGATGAGACGCAACGTAAATGCTGGTCATGTGACGATGACTATAATTAAATGTATAATGCAATATTGTTGACTCAAGTGTGGGGGGAGAGGTTTGGTCCTGCTGCTCCACCAGAGTGTTGTTGCATAATCTAGTCATTAGTGATAAAACTGTGTGACATAATTTAGTCACTAGGTAGTAATAACTAATGAGACTAAATTATTAAACTGCACTCTGGGTAAAGACAAGTAAAGGTGAGACTTAGTAAGTATCAACTATGCTATTTGTTGTGATGTTACATGTTTTATGTCTTGAATTTTTATTTCTGTTGTATACTACATAACTGTGACAACCACAGGCAAGCGCTGAATCAATTGCACGCTCATGCTTATAACATTGTTTTTTTATCTTAAATGAGGGATTAGGGAGACGGATCTTTTACTCCCTCCTAGTCAAGTGTGGGGGGAGAGGTTTGGTCCTGCTGCTCTCCACGCCTAGAGAAAAAAAATTATATAAGAGGATACAGAAAAAAATTCGAGAGATTGCTCTGCAGAGTTCTCTCAGGTTTTATTGTCTCTGAAAATAAAATCTCTTCTGGCATCAAAACCCCAAGACTCTGAGAAAGATTCTTCACAGCAGCGGCAGAAGCCACCACAGTAATTACATGATAAATTTAATATAAAGTGTAACACTTTCTTTACCAAAAAGTGCTGTTAGTCCTGTTACACATTTGTACTTTCATTACCAAAAAGTGTTGTTACCAATGTCTTGTTACACATTTGTACTTACACATACCATTCAGTGTGTTGATACATATTTGTAGTTACACAAACATTAGAGCTGTAGATACTATGTACCAATGTGTACTTACACTGTGGTTACATACTATGTACACATCTAGTTACTATGTAAGTACACAGGTATTAGGGACACAATATAAAGTGGGACCAAAATTTTTATTAGATAAGACTCAGATACTTCAGAAATATTAAAAACAGTAAGATCATTATTTGGTGATATAATATCCTTACTTCTTACACTAAAACCTTGTATTAAATCTTGAACTGAATCTACAGAATAAAAAATTATTAAATACTCTAGCAATTTGATGGTTATTTTTAATTAAATTTCCCTGAACATGTATTTCAATAACTTTATCTCAGTTTTTACTATTTTTCTTTCATACTCTATTGATATTCTCCCAAACTTCTCTACTAGCATCTACTAGCCCTTAGCATCATTTATACGATCAATAAAAAATTTTGCTTTCGCTTTTCTCAATTCCTTTACAACTTTATTACATAAGTATTGAAATGTCCTTCAATGAGTGAAACCTGATTTGAGCGCTATTTTCAAAGCATGGTCCCTCCGTCTAATTAACTTCCATAATTAATTTAACCAAGGCAAATTTAATTTTTACTCAATTCACCTTTAATCTTATTAATTGTGACCATTAAACACTCAGAAGCAGCTTCTAAATTATCTGTAGACAGAATCTCATTCCAATGTAGTTTTTAAAATTTCTCTTCAAATTCATTTTTAAATCTATTCTGTATAATATTTAGCATATTTTCTTTGTCTTTGGTTTTCATACTAACCTTGCTACTAAAGAAATGTGCTACACTACTACCTTCAGTAAATTATTTTCCCTACAAGAACTCTGGTCATGCTTACTTAATTTATGTATTAGAGAAATATAATATTTTGACAAGCCACCCAAATGATTGCTCAGTCAAATACAGGAAAATCTAAAATTAAGGACAGCACAATGTGTTGTTTATAATATCATGTGACAGTTGCGTATAAAGATAATTTGCTTCATTTTATATTTGTGTAACTCCTTACAGTTTTAAAGGAGAATTATGTTACATTTATGACTTATTATTATGATCTTCCATGTTTTCTGCATCTAACAACAGTTCAGTAAAATGTTATATGGTTGTTTTTTTTTTAAGATTCCTCATAATGATTGGAGTGACACGGTCACCACTGTCACCGCTGAACCAGGTATGCACAAGCGTAATTAACTCAAGATTTTTAACAATATTAATTAACAAGATTTACTGTGTCCATTGTAAAAGACAGTAAGTAGTGGAAAGCTACAATAATGAGTCTGACAAAAATACAGACAATTCTGCCAGAGCAAAAGGCAAAGTAGAGGAAAACAAAAGTGTTCTAACCTCCATCTAGACTGCGTGAAAGAAGGTATCTCTTGCTAGTGGATCGTTCAAAGTGGGGAGCGGGCCGATCAATCAGAGCGCTGGCTTGCCGTGTCTGGGCCTGAGTCCTTCCACTGTATCTGAACTTTGAACCCATCACCAGAAAGCCCTTTGGTGGTGGCTCAGAAGACACTAGCCTAAAACAGACCAATACAGGAAAATGTTATTGGTTTACTGATATTAACTTCATTAATAATCTGCATCAGAAAGTACTGAAAAGACAACCCCCTGTAATAATAAAAAGCTACAGTGGTTGATGGGTAATTAGTCAAAACAACCCACCACCAAGTCTCTATGGTATTCTGGTCTTTATAATAACATACCTGGAGCAACAGAGGATATGCCAACAGAGACCTTCAAACTCACATTCATCAATCTTAATCTTAATCATACCTAAACTTTCTCATATATTTAAAAAGGGCAGTATGACTATCAAGACATAGCCACACTAGACTTTGTTCTCCATTGATTCCATTTAAATGTCATGCAAACGTGGGAAACCGGAAACAAAACATATTCAATAGTGTAACAGCTTCAGGCATTAGGAGGATGTTCAAACACAAAGGACTGAAAGTCATTAAAGCTAAATTCATAGCACAATGGTGACCCAAAGTTTGTCACTAAGAAAAATAAAATAATTAACATGAACATGACTACAATGTTGATAACAAAATGAGAAAAATCAAATTAGTCCAGATAGTTTACCTGAAAAAGGTGTGGTGTTCGATGCAAACTTTCCATAGCCTCTTGGCGCCTCTGTGGTTAGAAAGCTTGAAACCAATGGTGCTCTCAAATTGCTCATACTGTTGTGTAAAAGAAGGGGAAGAACACATCAGATAGTTCCCTGTCACAATCTGGTCACTTTCGACTGTTTTAAGTGGTACCAGAATCCTGAAACCTATGTTTTTGTATTTTGTTTTTGTGTCTGGGTGAGCACACAGATTGAGGTAATTCTCCTTGGCTGTATGTTCTCCTGTCCCTTTTGTGTTAGGAGTGTAGGGTCTGGATCCTGACACTTCTGTCTGTTTCATTTACAGTGTCAGGATCCAGGTGCTCATTCCTCATGTTGTGTCTTTTGTTGTGAGCACATAGCACTGGTTGTTGGTTTCTTTTTCATGTGCTCTTGCCTGTCTGGCATGTGTGTTTGAGTACATGGCTTATGATTGTGTTTGTTTGTCATTAATTCATGTCATGTTTGGTGTGAACACTTGACTTCTGTCATGTTTGTTTCTATTAACCATGTGCTCTTCTATCTCATGTCTTGTCCTTGCCGTTTTGTTATCTTGTTATTAGTTAATTTGCCCCACCTGCTATCCCTCGATTTTCTTTTCATTTGCTGCCCCATTTAACTTCCCTCTGTTCTGTGTGAGTTCTTGTATAACTTTAAGTGCCTTTTGCTGGGCAGACACTGCACAATTTTAGCCCCAATCATGTAGTGTGTGTTATCAAAGACGCATTCTGAGAGAAGCGGTGATGTGTCACCGATTCTCATGTGACATTTAGCAATCTAAATATCTGGACCTGTCGGCGACTCAGAGTCCTGCAGTGTGAAATGTGTTTTGACTGAAAATGACACAGGCGATGACCTAAAGTGAATGAGAGAGCATGATACAGGGCAAGGGAAAGTTCAGGGGGTGGAGTCACAGATCTGCAACAAAACATCAGCATGCATGGTTTCTGCAAGCAACCTTCTCTTCATATTCTTCTTTTTTTTTTTCTTGTTCACTGCAAACTAGAATACAGACAACTTGGATTGCAAGCTTCTTGCAGGCTACAATTTCTAACAGGAAGAAATCCATTTTCACGCAAGAGCTCACTTGTTATTTCCTGCATCACTTCTCACATGTGTTTGGTTGTGAAATGTAAGATGTTTGTAGGCCAGATGAAGTTGTCAGCGATTCTTCCTATTGAAAAGTTGTGTAATGTGTTACCCCCTGTCATGTAGTTTGCACACAACAGCATCTAGTTGGTGCCTCAGACAGTTGTGTAGTGTGAAAATCATGTAGTGTATTCCCAGCACTAGTGGTCCTGTCTGTTTATCTGCCTTGGGCTTCTCTGCCCTAGTCAGCCAGCCAATAACTGATTGTCCTCTGTCTGCTGGGACTATGTTTTTAACGTGTTAAACGTGTAAAAAAAAATCACTATTTTATTAAACACGGAGGAAACACTAGGAGATAACTTCTAGGAATATGCTCAACACAACCATTTAAATACAATTAAACTAAAGTGTAAACGAAGACAGACAGAGTCTAATGGAGAATTCAGGGTTTAAATGCATGGATGAAACAATGGGACTAATGAGATAATTAGTTAACACCAGGTGAATGGAATGACTAATGAAAACAGAATCAGAAGGAATCAACAAGAAACTAGGTCAAATGATAAGGCAGACAGACAGACAAAGCATACATGTTACAATACACCCCCTCCCAAAAGAGGGTCGAGGGAGGGAGGAGCCATGGTGTTGACATGGTATATGACACCCTGGGGATTAGCGATGGAGATGGAGCCACTGGATGTGGAGACCCAGGTGGAGCCGAGCAGATGGAGAGCTAGGGTGTCACCAGAGGTCCAGAGAGCCAAAGCGGAGCTAAGGGCTCCTGCGAGCACGCCAGAGACGGGGACCCCGAAGACTGTGGCGGAGCCGGAGTGATTGAGGACAAAGGTGGAGCCGGAGGGAAGGAGGAGTCAGATGGAGCCTGAGGGATGGAGGGATGAGGTGAAGCCGGAGAAGTGGAATCCCGTAGCGGATGAGGGTCGACGACTGACCAAGGCAGAGCTGGAGGGACAAGGGAGCCCGGTGGAGCCAGTGGGATGACGGGCCACAGTGGAGATGAGGAAGCAAGGAGCCAAGGTGGAGCTGATGGGTTGGAGGGCTGAGGTGAAGTCCAGGACTTGGAGGCTGGAGGCGGAGACAGACTGATTTCAAATCTCCCTTTTCTGTCAAAAATACTAGAAAAGGCAGTATCCTCTCAGCTATGTTCCTTCTTAGAGAGAAGTGATATCTGTGAGGATTTCCAGTCAGGATTTAGACCATATCATGGTACTGGCACAGCTCTCATCAGAGTTACAAATGACCTGCTCTTATCATCCGATCGTGGTTGTATTTCTCCGTTAGTGCTACTGGATCTAAGTGCTGCGTTTGACACTATTGACCACAACATTCTTTTGAGTAGACTACAAAATTATGTTGGCATTAGTGGAATTGCATT